CGTCTTTTACAAGCCGTCGAATAATAATTACAAGTTTACTTGTCATAAGACATTAGTATTAAGCCTATTGCATTTTGAAACACTACATTCTTAATCTAGTCCTTTAGGGATTTTCAAGAATTACAAGAGCGTATAATAATAATAATATTTTGAACACTCTATATCTATTGCTGATAACGCGTTTCTCTCAAACCAGAGCTCTTCAGGCCGGCTGGGATATAACAAACACAGAAGTGGTCACTTGACAGTCACCAAATCCGGATCATTATCATTTTACTTTTCGATAATTTAATTTCCTTCACCAATCCAGAATTTGAACTGACGGTTTTTTTTTTCATCTATCGTGTGGAACTTGAAATGACTAATGAAACGACAACTTGACATTTTTTTTGAACCTATATATCTCATTTACTAATGACAATTTGAACTCATTTATGGTTTAAAGAAAATGCGTAAAATTCGACGTATACGCCCTTCCTTCTGTTAATATTGTAATACCTAATCAAGACGTAATTATTTCACAACCGAAAAGATTAATACTTGTTTATAATAAATCTCAATATTTATTCATTCAATGTCAAACTATTAACTGAAAAATTCAAATTTAACGCTTATAGTTTTTCCCATTATAATCAAAATATACAGATTATTTTCCTACAAACATAACATTACATTAAATAAATTGGTTCCAATTCATTTCGAAAAGATATGATTTTTTCACCAGTGCCCCCCCAGTGGCACAGCGGTATGTCTGCGGACTTACAACGCTAGAAGTCGGGTTTCGATACCCATGGTGGGCAGAGTACAGATAGCCCATTGTGTAGCTTTGTGTTTAATTCCAAACAAACAAACAGTTTTCACCCGTTATTCTCGTTCTTGAACTTGTTGACCTTCTGTCACCTTAACTGGCATTGGTCACATTCAAGGACCATTTGGACATGTTATCACGTGACTCTATCTTCCCACTCCAAAGTTCCTTTTTTTTTCAGTTAATTCTCTCAGTTTAATAGGCTTAAAAACAGGTATGAGATTTTTCTCTGTTTATCTTTGTTTTAAATTTATTTAGATACTTGTTTTACTCTCTAATATAAGTAAATTGGACAGGAAAAATTGAAGATTACTTTAGACTGCCCATACCTGCTAAACTTTTCTTAAATTTGTAATATTTTAACTCATTTACTTCCTATGATAGTGGTGGGCAGAGCACAGATAGCCCTTTGGCACCTTCCTTTGCACCTTGCATTCGAGGGAAGATGATAAGCTGATTTTAATTATGTACAGTTGGGAAAAATAACCCTTTTATTTTATTTTTTTCCGTATGTATTACTTTTCGTATCTTATACATTATTTCTCTGCTATTAGTATTTAGTATTCTGAATTATTTTGGTTCACCTGTGGTTTGGTTGTATATTATTTATTTGATTTTATTACTTGGAAACTACCTTCCAATAATCACACGCAGTTAGTGAATGCGTAGTTTGGTTCAGGACATTATGGGTTCAAAGATTCAAAGAGCACATTCTCACCCGCGATAAGGAAGATACGAACTACGTTCAACGCTGTTTGAATGCTAGTGCGCAGTTATACGGTTTTTCTCAGCATGTTTTGTCCTTGCGGGTTCTTGGGTTGCATTTTACAATATAATCGAACGACTCTATATTATTGAGTAGCTATAACTATCTTCAGAAATATTAAATTAATATTTTACGGTTTCACAGAGCTACCTACCATCACCAATGCATCTGGGCATATTCGCACGTTACGTATTAATAAATATTCTACGTTTTGGTAAAATTAGCAGATTTCTGTAAAGTATTGTGATTGGTTGACCTCCTGGATCAAGATCAAATTCAGCACCACATCGATCCAGAAAAATGAACCAGAATGAACCATTTTGCTTCATTTATTAAAAAATATTTTGGGGGATCATGCCCCAAAACCACTTTTTTAAATGCGAAAGAAGATATTTTTGAAGAAAATATGGCTCAAATAATTTTGATGTGTGATGAATGACACTTTTTAAAATTTCTGCATTCAAATATTCTCTGGAAGATAGACGTAACATATTGGTTCCAATCACCTGATGATAATGATAACTATTTTAATCTTCTGTAACTAGTGAAGAGTATATCTTTATTCAAGTATAATCGGAAAATTCTTCTAAATTATCGTCCAACTTTTAGCATAACATTTTGGGACATCATGGTACCTATTGGTCAATCTTGGCTGTTCCATTCTCTAAACTAAAATAATTTT